CTGCCGCCGCGTCTGCGCCCGCCCCCACGCCCGCCCACGCGCCCCGCGGAGAGGGGGGAACACATTGAAACGCATTACTGAACGGCAATAATTCTCCCTTCCCAAAGCGCGACTGCCGCCGCCGCGTTCCCGCCAGATTTCGCGCCCGCCCACGTGCCCCGCGGAATTGCATTGGGGCCCCGTGGAATTCCGAAGAGTTGAAAAATTCCACGGAACTCCACGGAATCCAACAAAACATGTTGGTTGATTCACACTTTGATTTGAATTCCATGGGGGCCTGCTAGGGCGCCTGCTGAAGGCGCCCACTTAGGGCGCCCGCGTAGGCCACTCAAGTAGGGCGCTCACGTACGGCGCTTGCTGGAGGCGCCCACTGCGGGCGCCCGCTGAGGGCGCTCGCTGAAGGCGCCCACGCAGGGCAAGGCGCCCACTAGGGGCGCCCACGGAATCGACGAAGGGCGGCCACGAAGGGCGCCCACGGAGCCGACGAAGGGCGGCCGCGAAGGGCGCCCGCGAAGGGCGCCCACTAAGGGCGCCCACTAAGGGCGCCCGCGAAGGGTGCCCACTAAGGGCGCCCACTGAGGGCGCCCACTAAGGGCGCCCACTAGGGGCGCCCACCAAGGGCGCCCACTATGGGCGCCCACTAAGGGCGCCCACCATGCGCGGCCACTGAACGCGCGCAGGAAGGCAAACCCTGGGAATGGATTCCGGACTCCCAGGGGTCTAGAGAAGCGATCCCAGTGGGATCGCTGTCTCTATTCACTTGGAACCGCTTCCAAGGAAGTTATAGAACATCGATCCCAGGTGTTGTCCTTCGGCTCCTGACTGCGCAGGTCCTCGGAGGCCAGCAGCTCACGCGCGGCCCCCATCGGCCGCGAGGCCCGGCGGGGGAGGCCCCGCTGCGTCGACGCGCTCCACGATGCGATCCAAGACCCACTCCTGGACAGTAGTCGGGGCCTGAGCTGAATGCCGAGCCCGGTGAAACGAATCCGATTTCGGTTGAGCAGCAGCGAGGTGGCTGAGCGAAGCCCGTGCCAGGTGAACCCGCTGTTGCTGCTCATGGCGGCCCCAAAGCTCGTCAAGTTGGGCGCCCGATAATTGCGGCGGAGGGAACGGGCCCCCGCACCTACGTCTTGAAGGCCCCCACCGGGTAGAGCGCCCCCGATCGTGATAGACAGTGCCGGGCTGAGCTCGAGGACCAGACTCAGCCTGGGAGGCGCCGTTCACCCCGGCGCCTGCTCGTCACCTTTGCCACCGCCTCGACCCCGTCCGCGCCCTCGGCCACGCCAGCGGCCCCGACCCTCGGCATCGGGGTCTTGCAGCCCGCGCGAGGCCTGCAGAGCGCGCTGCTCCTCATCCCAGAGGGGGTCTGCTTGACAATGGCGGCCTGGTCCTTGAGGCGGCTCGTCACCCGCTCAGTGAAGTTGTCGGTGCTGGCCTGGCCCTGCTCGGTCGTCGGGGCGCGCAGCGCGATGTCCAGACCCCGATAGTCTGGGCGTCTCGGGTTGCGAGACACGGGGGTCTCGTCCTGGCAGATTCTCCGCATGATCAGCTCGAAACTCAAAAGATTCGTGACGTCGAGCTGGTCGGTCTGAATGGTCTGGCAGACCGCTTCACACCAAACGTAGCGCGTGTGGACCACCGCCTAGAACACAGCAGTTCCCGATAATCACACCCAACGCCCATGATAAGAAGTCAGGTCGCCAAGGCCGTTCCTGACAGATGTGAGCCACTCCTTGGCAACTCTCGACCCTGGCATGATCCAATCGCCGAACGTCGTCTCGCGCATCAAAGAGACTGCCTCAACCCACGCGAGATGACGGCGTCCTGAAGCATCACAATGATCTCCCAAAACTCGCAGTTCTCCTGTACCAGACTTACGAGAGGCCTTCCAAGCCTCCAACTGATTCGTCTGAACCCGCTCAACAAAAACCTCCATGCCGTTAACTCGGGCGACGCCCTTGGACTGACCAAGGGTGGCCTGCTGAACCTCCGGGTCGGAGAGGACCTGGGCGAATCTGAGGTGGTCCGTCTTTGCGATCACCCAGGCAGTATTCTCGATCTCCATGCCTTGATCGTCGTCGCCCAGGATAGCAGCCTGCACGGCGGCCTGGCGCTTGAGGGCGAGGAGTTCGACCCGAGGCACTGGATCAAACCCATAAGTCTGGGCACGATGAGCCGCTGGGAACATGGAGTTCCTATCCAAATCTATGTGGCGCTGCTTGAGAGGGCTGTGTCGAACCAGCTCGTAATGCAATGCGATCGCAATCCACACCCCAGCCGTGATCTTCTTGGCTAGGATGCGATGATGCCAGATCACTCCTCCGGCATCATCGGGTTAATGCACCAGAACCTGGGGTTCTGGGATGTCCAAAATGTCCATCTCTGATGCTGTTCGTTAGCTGGGCAGAAGACGCGGCCGATGCCAATGGAGTCGGTGCTCCTGGCCCCCCGAGGGCTCGAAGCCCCTGCGTCAAGAATACCCTGATGAGCTGGATCACGCCGATGAAAATCCAACCTGCGATCACTCCAATGATGATGCCGATGGTCAGCTAAAAGCCCCAGGCACAGCCAGGATCCTGTGAGGCCGGGCGCTTGCCTGTCGGGGCTAATGCCGAAACTGAAGTAAGACCTCCGCACCTACAAGAAGGGCAGGCAGGGCACGCAGGACAGGAGCCGCGCGTCACCGAAGGAGTTGTCGGACAAGCGGGCACTGGCGGGCAGGCGGTGCCGCTGGGCACCTGCTGAGGTAAGATAGCTAGCTGTTGGCGGCTAAATCCTGGAGGCGCTGCTGCCAAGTCGGCCTTCAAGACTTGAGCGAAATAGTTTACAAATGAGCGGGCCTCAACGAAGCGAAATATACAACAATCAAATACTAACATACAACAAACAGTGAACATATGCATTGACATACACGTCGATATATTCATACACATACATATATACACTACACATAATTGCATACGCATACACACCTGCATACATACGTACTGTGCTACGTACGTACCGGGCGACCTGCCGACGTATATGCATCCGACATACAGACATGCATGCATACATGCATGTATGTATACATACATACGCAAATACCTATAAACATGCATACATACATACATGCGCTGCATGGATGCATGCCTGCACGCAAGTATGCATACATACAAGCATACACACATGCATGCATGCATACATACATCCATGCATCCTGGCATCCATGCATGCATTCATCATGCATACGTGCATACATGCATACATCCACACGTGAAAGGCTTACAGGCGTACATGCATGCATGCATGCATGCATGCATGCATGCATACACACCTACAAACCGAATACCTACATACCTACGTACCTGCATACATACATACCTGCATACCGACCCACCTACCTACCTACCTACCTACATAGATGCATACGCACATACATACCTACGTGCATGCATGCATGCATGCATGCATGCATACATACACACACATACAACCATACAACCATACACGCATGCATACATACATACATGCATGCATGCATGCATGCATGCATGCGTGCATATATACATACAATAGAACCATCGCGCGCGCTTCGCGCGCGCTCAGGTTCTAGCCCAGGCCGGGGGGGGCGCTGGACGATCTTGGACAACGCTATCAAGCACAGGCGAGCGACGGCATCTGAGGAGCTTCTGGGGTGTTCCGCATGCTTCGTCAACTGGCTGTTGAAGGCACCTCTTGGGTGCCTCTTGGGGGGGCGTCTGAGGGTCCCTTGGGGGCATCGGTTCTGCAATCTGAAACCGCGATTGGCCGTATTGGCTGCGTGGAGGCCCGGCTTGAGGCCAGCTGCGGCCAGATTGAGGCAATCCGGAAGCCTCCCGCGGGCCTCCTGGAAGCAGTTTTGACGCATCGAGGGCACTCTTGGGCTATTTTAAAACCTCTTGGACGTCTCCTAGGGGCCTTTTTGGCCCTCGGGAAGCTTTTAGGGGTCCTCTTGCGGCCTCCTGTGGGCCTTTTGGGGGGAACGCTCTGCTGTTGGGTCGCGTTCCCCTTCTTGGGCCTCTCTTGGGGCTCTTGGGGCCCTCTCGGGCCGTCTTGGGCGCCTCAAGCACCGTCTTGGGGCCCTCGCGGGCCGTCTTGGGGCCCTCTTGGAGGCCTCTTCCTCTATATTGGAGCGGTATTGGAAGCCTCTTGGGCCGTCTTGGAGCATCGGGATGCCAAAAGGCCGAAAAAATTTAAACCCGTCAAAGCCCAATCGTAAAACAATGAGTTGTGCCTCTCGGGGCCACCTTGGGAGATCTCTTGGAACCTCGTCGGCCCTCTTGGGAGCTTCTTGGGGGCCTCTTGGGACTTCCCGAGAACCTCTCGGGGTAGAAAGCTCGGATTCTCAGTTCGTGTTTCCCTTCTTGGGCCTCTCTTGGGGCCGTCTTGGGGCCCTCTCGGGACTTCTTGGGCGCCTCAGGCACCGCCTTGGGGTCCTCGTGGGCCGCCCAGGGCCGTCTTGGAAGCCTCTTCGGCTATCTTGGAGCTGTCTTGGAGGCCTCTTCCTCCTCCTCGTCCCCCTTCTCCTCCTCCCACTCCAGCTCTCTCTCCTCCTGATCTTCCTCCTCCTCCTGCCGCGTGTTCCGGAAGGCTCCCGCCTGAACATGCTGTGCACAAGTGCTGTCACTGCTCCCGCCACAATGCCCTGGGTGGTGGGTTAGAGGCCTCATCGTCGACTCGGAGTCGACGATGAGTTCTGTCTGTGTGTGCTTTCCCCTCCTGAACTTGGGCCCTCACAGGCGGCCCGGCAGCGCCTACCCCAGGTCTGCGGGGGCTCTCGGCGTGGGCCATATGGGCGCTTTGCGGGGGGCTCTCTTGGGCCGCCTGCGAGCGTCTGCGGGCGCTCGTGGGGGCCTCCGGGCGCCTCACCGCAGCCTCCTGGGGGACAGCGGAGGCGCTTCGGTGATCTTCTGTGGAGCCTTTGGGGGCTGTCTCGGGCCGTCTTGAGGCCCTCGGGGAAGGATTTGAAGATGATTTCTGTTTTTTTTGATATTGATCCTGTCCGCCTCCTCAAGGCCAAGGTCCAGCCTCAAAGCACGGATGAGCCGCGCACGCACACTACTTCGCACGGAGATGGTGCGTCGCGGTTGCGCAACGCTCATGCAGCAAGATCGAATGATTGAACAGTGCTGCATCTGCAGCAGGCAACGGTTTCGGAAAGATGCAGCAGCGTTCACACTCGAGGAGGGGGCAGGGTGAAGGGAGAGGGAGAAAAGTGTTGATTTTGATCCTGTCCGCCTCGAGGCCAAGGTCCAGCCTCAGAGTACGGATGAGCCGCGCACGCACACTTCTTCGCACGGAGATGGTGCGTCGCGGTCGCGCAACGCTCATGCAGCAAGATCGAATGATTGAACAGTGCTGCATCTGCAGCAGGCAACGGTTTCGGAAAGATACAGCAGCGTTCACTCGAGGAGGGGTCAGGGTGAAGGGAGAGGGAGAAAGCTGATGGTTTTGATCCTGTCCGCCTCGAGGCCAAGGTCCAGCCTCAGAGCACGGATGGACCGGCCGCGCACGCACACTACTTCGGACGGAGATGGTGCGTCGCGGTCGCGCAACGCTCATGCAGCAAGATCGAGTGATTGAACAGTGCTGCAACTGCAGCAGGCAACGGTTTCGGAAAGATACAGCAGCGTTCACACTCGAGGAGGGGGCGGGGTGAAGGGAGAGGGAGAAAGGTGATGATCTTGATCCTGTCCGCCTCGAGGCCAAGGTCCAGCCTCAGAGCACGGATGAGCCGCGCACGCACACTACTTCGCACGGAAATAGTGCGTCGCGGTCGCGTAACGCTCATGCAGCAAGATAGAATGATTGAACAGTGCTGCAACTGCAGTAGGCAACGGTTTCGGAAAGATACAGCAGCGTTCACACTTGAGGAGGGGGCAGGGTGAAGGGAGAGGGAGAAAGGTGATGGTTTTGATCCTGTCCGCCTCGAGGCCAAGGTCCAGCCTCAGAGCACGGATGGACCGGCCGCGCACGCAAACTATTTCACGCACGGAAGTAGTGCGTCGCGGTCGCGCAACGCTCATGCAGCAAGATCGAATGATTGAACAGTGCTGCAACTGAAGCAGGCAAAGTATATTGAGTCCTGAGGTTCTACAAATCCTCCTCTTGATCCCTCACCCAAGCGTCTCCCAACCTCTACAGAGGGCCCGCTCGAGCGCAGTCCCAAGGACTAGGTATCGCCTTAGATTGCGCAGCTCTGCAACTGTGAAGTTTGGGAAGCCTCTTACCTAATCTATCACTGGGAGCGAAACCGCCGCACGAGGAACGAAAGAGGACGGGTATGAGAAAGTGGGAGGGGGAGGAAGGAGGAGGAATGCCATATCGAGGTCGATCAAGGTGGCACCCTTGCGCGAAGTGGCACTCAAATGCGCCACACTGATACCGTTGCGCACTCAACATCTCGCGATTAGAACGGTAGCCTTGTCCTATCTACCCTAAGCGGAAAGAATCCGCACTTGCAATCGCACGCATCGCCCCCCAGCCGGTCAGGCGAAGGGAAGACCACCAAGCTAAGGAGAGCGTCTATAACGTCTTCATCAAGTCTGGGACGCGCGGCTGCGCAGAGCAATTGGACCCCTTCCTTGTGCCACGCATTTGCGCACTGAGCTATTGTGGGACGTGGGGCCGAATCGCTCGACGATGATCGGGGAGACATAGGACTCGGGTACGGGGGACTCGGGTTGGCCTGACGGGGGTCATCATGAAAATGACGAGGCCCAACCTGAAATTTGACGCGGGCTCCCGCTGCAAACATCCCACAACAACTGGGCCATCAAAATCCAGGACGGGCTCGTCAAAAAACGTCGGCAGACCCGAATTCCGGCTTACTCGAGTCTTACGTTTCCCCGAGATGAAACCAAGCACATAATAAACGCAAGACCCCAACCAATCTGGCAACAAAATCGACGCGCGCTTCGGACGGTCCCACCTGTAATTCCTTCATCCGTCAAAGGCGCACTGAGGTACAAGCTGCCGGCCTACACCCGACATCGACGCTCCAAGCACAACCGCGCTACTGCACGCAGTCGAGCAGTCGCCCACTCAAATTGCGTTGACACCTAGGCATAATTAGATTGATCGACTTTGTCGCAGTTCGACCCAAAAACCGATAATGTCACAGGGTGCATGCAAACATGGTGCCTGGGACAGCAGAATAGGGTCGAATGGCACTCCGCGGAATCTTGACATCTTCGCGGCAGCCCAAACCACTGGAGGGCGGGGGGGGGTGCTAAAAAATCTGACGTTGGTTCTTCAGAAAGCGCGCGGCCACCACCGCAAACGCAACAGGCCATTCTGGCCGTCAAACCCCCATTGAGAAAATGGCCGCCGCATCTCTGGCAGAGGTCAACACTTCCTTCCCGTCCATAATAGTCGCATTGATTGTGATGACTGTCGTACCACACCTTCCATCCGTCTGGCACCAAATCCATACAACCGCCGCCCTCGACGCGACCGCAAGCGCAGCAAGCCGTGTCGGCGGTGTGGCCGAAGTTCTTGTAAAGGTGGCCGTGATCCGCGCAATGACTGCCAATTGCGTACCAGGCGCACGTTTCCCCGTCGGAGTCGTGCCAGGACGACTCGCCCGCGGGCACGAAGTCTCTGCACAGGCCGCAGTGCCCATCCGCGCCGCCCCCGGCCTGGATGCAGGCCTCCTTTCCTTGTGGAAGGGCGAACAGCCCCACCCAAACTGGGCCGCTCCTTGCGAAGCCGAAGTGGGAAAAGGAATGAAAATAGAAATTGTACATCGACGCCCATTGGTGACTCCAATGGAATATTACGTCGGAGACAGTCACGTGTTCTCCCCCGAAGAGGTTCTCCCCCATCGAATGGGCATCGTAACCCACATTGGCTATGCGGTCTTCAGGTTTGCTGCCGTCACTCCCGACATGCGACATGAAATCGCGTTCACGAATGTCGTCGGCGTGCAGCTGCGCTGCCTTGTTGAGCTTCTCGTTGTAGCAGAGGGGAGAAAGGCCTCTCTCCATGCGTAATTGATTCATCTTGTCCAACATCTCCTTGTACTCCTGATCGGACAGGGCGAGCGACACCGTGGAGCCCAGCGCTCCTGGCCCGACCTCGACCTGCCGCGCGGCTGCGCGGATCCGCCGCGGACCGACCGCCACCAGTGCGGCGAGCACGGCGCAGGCCACCAAGGTGGCGACGACCGCGCGCGCGCGCGCCGGCCGCCACGGGCTCGGCTCCCCCTCGGCGCCCCCTGTCTCCGGGTCCAGGGCGAGAGGAGCGCCCGGGGCCGCGCTGAGCCGGCAGGGGCTGCTCGTCCTGCTCGCCGCGCACGGCCATGGCTCCTGCGGCTGGGCGGGCCCTCCAGGGGCGGCGGTAACGCAAGCACTGAAAAGGCCTCTCCCTCTGGCCAATTGGGGGCTTTTAGGGCCGCATGCGGGCTTGAGCCCAAATGGCTACGGAAGAAGGATTTGAAGATGATGATGGTGGTTCGGAGACCCCTCCAGAGCCAGTTTGCGAACGATGCCACAAGCGAAAGTGCCGTTGTTCAGAAACCAGACCAGACAAGAATGGGCAGCGTTACTTTTGTCCACGAAGTCTGCCAGAGAGCGTCCTGTTGAATCCGTATATATATGGACAACTTACACTTATGTTCGTATCCATATATATACATACATTATGATCGTATATTTAATATATATATATATATATATAAAGATATGTACATATATGTGCGCATGCACCTATATATATATATATATATATGTGCGTATACACAAACATGCATGCGTACATGCATGCACGCATACATACATACATTTATAGATACTTACACCTTTACGTTCCATACTCTCACATGCGTTCAAATACATACATACGCCCTAAGACCGCTTCAAAGGTACACCCTGGGGCCCCAACAGACCCCCCCATGAGTCACCCGGAAGCCGACCGCCAACCTGCCACGTGAGCGCGGTGGCGGAATCGCGCGGCAACGCAACTGGATGAACGCAGTGGCAGAAGAATCTTTCGAGAGGACCGTGCGCCTCCACCCTCGGCTAACGGGCCGGAGCGCTCGCGCGGCCCTGCGCTATCACCGCCCCAGCAGAGTCGCGCAGCGTGGCCTCCACCACGAGCTGGTCGCCCGGCTCCCCCGCGGCGGGCACGACCCACTTGCAGCCGAAGCGAGCGCCGTCGCTGCGGCGCCGGGCGATGCGCCAAGCCGACCTCGCGGCACCGGGGCCCTCCCGCAGAGGCTCGGCCCGCTGCACCGAGAGCTCCGTGTGGCTCCAGCCAGATAGCACGGCCGCCCGCCGCCGCGGCTCGCGCGGCAGGCCCCCGAGCTCGCCCGCCACGCTGACGAGGCAGTCGCGCCCCGCGGCCCGCAGCTCCGCCTGCAGGCCCTGCACTCGGAGGCCGCCGCGAGGGCAGAGGGCGCCCACGGGCAGCGCCCGGCCGACGAGGGCTTCCGCCAGGGCCACGGCCTCTGCGAGCCCGGCCCGCAGCCCCTCGGAGCCAGCCGCCTCCGGCGGCGCGGCGTCGGGCGCCGCGCCCCGCCGCAGCGACGCGGCGAAGGCGGCCGGGCACGACCGGCGGCAGTGGCGCACGAGCTCCGCCAGTGAGCCGCGGAGCCGCTCGCTGGCCGCCTCGGCGCCGGCGCCCTCTGCCTGCGGCGCGTGCGCCAGCCGCGGCCGCTTCGCCCTCGGGGGCCCCTGCGCGGGCGACCCTGCAACACAGGCCAGCGCCTCCGCGAACTCGTGGGCGCACCACAGCGCGGATCTCGCCGGCCCTACCGGCGCGCACTGGCGCAGGGGGAGCGCCCTGCGCAGCTGCAGTAGCTCCTCTGGGGGGACAAGACAAGTGTCCACGCCGCTGCTCCTCCCTTGACCTCCCCTGGGGTGGGTTCTGGCCAGCTTCTCACAGCGAGTCCAGCCGCGGCGACGAGGGATCCGGGTAGCGGCATTGGTACCTGCTTCTCCCCAGGTCCTCGGCCACCTCCTGCAGGGACTCGGCTAGGGCGCAGCTGCCGGTTCCAGCCGCACAGCTCTCGCCAAGCAGGCCGCGGGCGCCCGCGCACAGCTCCGCGAGGCGGGCACGCACGCGCCCGATGCGCTGCCCGAGGGAGGTCGCCCGCCCAGGGGTGGCCTCGCCCTCCAGCGCCAGCCGCAGCTCGGAGGCCCAATCGTCTGGCCCCCTGGCCGCGGGGGCCGACGCCCCCAGCAGCGCAGAGGCCTCCTCCACGAAGCCGTGCTCTGCGGCGAGGCAGGCCAGGCGGAGCCGCAGGAACCTCGCTCTGCCGCCCGGGGCGGGCTGCCCAGGGTCGTTCGCCAGCTGCGCTGCGGCGTAGGAGCCGAAGCGCGTGCAGACGCTCGTGCACCAGGCCTCGCTGACCTGAGCGGTGCCGAGCAGCACGCGCCAATGGCGCAGCGCCGACGGCGTGAGCGAGTCCGGCCACACCAGGCATGAGCGGCTCTCGATGTCGAGCTGGGCCTGCCAGTGCGCGACAAGCTCATCCGGGTGCGTGGAGGCAGCAGCGCCCAGAGACGCGGCGCGTAGGGCTTCCAGCAGCGGCGCGCCCTTTCCGCCGTGGTGCATTGCCGCCAGCAGCTGCTCTCCACAGCCGCCAGCGCGACGCAGCGCACCGCGGAGGCCTGGAGCAAGGCGGCAGCGGATCCATCGGAAGAGGTTCTGGAACTCCCGAGCCCTCAGGCCACGGCACCTCCAAAGTTCAATGTTTCTGCTGAGCCATGCCAGCGCTTCTCGCACGGCGCCGAGACCAGCGGGGGAGCCACAAGCCTCCAGTGCCAAGTCGACCCCGGCCATGCATAGGTCTGGTCCGGGTGCTGCGCCAGCGAGGAGCGGGCCGAAGCCAGCATCCTCGAGGTCAACTCCAGCGGCAAGGTCCAGTGCTGGGGCGTCGCGTGGTGCCGCTTCCGGCGTGGACTGCCCAAAGATCGCGACGCGCGCGGCGCCCCACGCCTCGCGATCCACATCCGATGTCGCCGACACGCCGCCCAGATGCGCGGCGCTTGGACTCTCGCCGCGCCGCCGCATCGCAGCCAGCGAGGCCGCACACAGGGACACGGCGGCGGTCAGGAGGCGCTCGCTGGGAGCGGCGGGGTTGGATTCCCACGCGGAGGCGAGGCCGCCGGCCCACGCCGCGCAGGTCCCCCAGGGCACGGGCTCGGGGGCAACCGGCAGCCGGGCCAGGGCAACCAGCGAGCGGAGTGCCGCCGCGCGCGCGTGGGGCCCCAGGCTGCCTCCCGCACAGCCGCCCAGCAGCTGTGCCTGAGGCGCGGCCAGGCCTGGAGCGGCGGCCACCAGCCGAGTGGACGCACGCAGCCGTGCGGCGAGCAGCACGCCCGCGGCCTCGTCGCCGTCTGGCTCGGGACCGAGCGAGTCGCTGCAAAGCTCGTGCGCGAGCTCGGCCAGCGCGAGCCCCCGGACCGAGGCGACGCCGTCCAGGAGCGACGGCCAGCCAAGCGCCTGCGCGCTGTCTGCGACCTGGCGGACCACGTCCCGCAGCAGTGCGGGCGGGACGCCGCGGGGCTCCGCCCGGAGGATGGCTTCGCAGAGCTCGCAGGCGGCCGCCCGCTCCTCGTCCGAGCCGTTCAGCAAGGAGCGGCAGGCGTGCTCGACCAGGGCCTCGGCGCGGGCCGCCGACGGCAGCAGGCCCGCGGCGGCCAGCGCCGCGGCGGCCCGGAAGGCCGTGGCACGGGCCGCGCCGCTGCCGTCGCTCGAGGCGGACGCCCTGCCGCCGAACAGCGCCTGGAAGCAGTTGTCCGCAAAGAGGGGGCCTGCGGCCGCCTCGAGCTCGGGGCCCGCCGCGGCCGCCCCGCCGGCCAAGATCTGGTCTGCGCTTCGCGCGATGGCGCCGCGGGCCGCGTCGGACTCCTCGGTGGCCAGCGCCCGCAGCAGCGCCAGCAGAATCTGTGCCCTCAACGGTGCGCCCCCGGCCAGGGCCAAGCGTGCGGCCACATCGGCAACCTCAACACGGTCGTTAGCGGAGTCCTTCTTAGAGAGCAGCAAACACCAAGTAAGCATAAGATGTCGTCTGCATGGATCTCCTCAACATCAACGTTCGAACGTCCGCGAGGATCTCTCAGGTCTGCGCTTCGTAAATTCAAGAGATCCTCGCGAACATCCGAAAACCATGCTTAGTCCAAACCATCCTCTGGTGTTGGGTCCAAGAGACATCCCTCGTGTTCCTCCACCTCTCCTCCTCTCCTCTCCTCTCCTCTCCTCTCCTCTCCTCTCCTCTCCTCTCCTCTCCTCTCCTCTCCTCTCCTCTCCTCTCCTCTCCTCTCCTCCACCCCCTCCTCCCTCCTCCGCAGTTCGCGTGCGCCCCTCCCACCCAGTGCAGCGTTTCGTGGCCCCAGAGGGAGCTCCACCGAAGGTCCCAATGGCGCAAATCGCATGCGTCCCCCCCGCCGAGTACAACGCTTCGTGGCCCCAGAGGGAGCTCCGCCAAAATTCCCAGTGGCGCAGTCCGCATGCGTCCCCCCGCCCAGTACAGCGCTTCGTGGCCCCGGAGGGAGCTCCACTGAAGGTCCCAGTGGCGCAGTCCGCATGCGTTCCCTGCGCCCAGCACAGCGCTTCGTGGCCCCAGAGGGAGCTCCACTGAAGGTCCCAGTGGCGCAGTTCGCATGCGTCCCCCCCGTCCAGTACAACGTTTCGTGGCCCATTGGGAGCTCCACTGAAGGTCCCAATGGCGCAGTTCGCATTCGTCCCCCCCGCCGAGTACAGCGCTTCGTGGCCCCAGAAGGAGCTCCACCGAAGGTCCCAGCGGCGCCTCCTGCATGCGTCCCCCCCGCCCAGTACAGCGCTTCGTGGCCCCAGAGGGAGCTCCACTGAAGCCCCCAGTGGCGCAGTTCGCATGCGTCCCCCCCGCCCAGTACAGCTCTTCGTGGCCCCAGAGGGAGCTCCACCGAAGGTCCCAGTGGCGCAGTCCGCATGCGTTCCCTGCGCCCAGTACAGCGCTTCGTGGCCCCAGAGGGAGCTCCACTGAAGGTCCCAGTGGCGCAGTCCGCATGCGTCCCCCCCGTCCAGTACAACGTTTCGTGGCCCCATAGGGAGCTCCACCGAAGGTCCCAGTGGCTGAACTCGCATGCGGTCCCTTTGCCCAGTACATCGCTTCGTGGCCCCTTAGGGAGCTTCACCCAAGCCCCCAGTGGCGGAACTCGTATGCGGTACCCCCGCCCAGTACAGCGCTTCGTGGTCCTAGAGAAAGAGGCACCAAAGGTCCCAGCGGCGCAGTTCGCACGCGGTTCCCCCGCCCAATACAGCGCTTCGTGGCCCCAGAGGAAGCTCCACGAACGATATCCACAACTGCGGTACGCACAACTGCGCATGGTTGGGTTCTTCGCCAGGCTAATTTTGCTCCTCGACTCCTGGGCATAATGCGCAGGATGTCTACAATCAAGGGTACCCATCGGGTACCCCAGCGAACATGTGATCATACCCCTTCTCCTGCCACGGCTTTGCGGCGGGCTGGAAGGGTAGCACGGATGACACATCGAGCCGATGGAGAACTGGGTTCCTCTC